TTAAAAAACTAAAATTTGGACTAGACGTTATACATAAGTGATAAGTGTCCACAACATGGAAAATGTATACAATTATAATTAGATAAGTTATTTTTTTTTGGGGGGGGGGTTATACATAATTATCAGTGAATTTTATAATTATTGGGTATTTTTTTCAAAATTTTCGACAAAACAGGAAAGGTACCTACCATTCCGATGTTTACATGTATACTCAAGTTTTTCGTAATCTTTCACTGCGAAAAATTAGGAGGATTCCTTCAACATTTTTATAAATAAATTTTCTTGTTCTATCATTGTCTTACTAAAAGTGCGATCTTTGTCTATAAAAAGCCAGCCTTAAGATTACAAAATTGCATTGTCCTTCACCCCAGATACCTTCATTTGTATATTTTTTCCTCAATTTCAAAATAGATATTTACAAAACAGTTAAGGAAATATAGTCTTTTAATACTTATTTATATTTGTACTACGAAAATATTAAATATGAGAATACAGGTGTCTTTTAAAGTAAAAAACATTTTTCAAATATCAGTTTTTACGGAAAACTCAAAGATAACGAGCATAAAAAACTTCTGAGCCTGCATAGAGGTATTTAAAATTATTGTAACTGCTTTCATTCATACAAACTATCGCTCGGAGTATTTACGACTCTCTTTTTTACGTTTTCTATGTATTCTCGTAATTCCTCCACTGCATTCACTTCAATCTTATACACCAAAAACTTTTCGTTTTGTAATCTCATAATATAAAAACGGTATAAATTACAATCTGTTGACCTAGGAGGTTGTGATATTGATCCTTTGCGGATTCTCCACCTATTGCATGGGAAATTCATTATTTAAATAATCCTTCACTTCATGTCTAAAGTAAGACTGAGGATTGTCGTAAATTCCACAAGGATTGTTTTACACTTGACATCACACCCACAAATAGTTCAAACAGAGTAAAAGTTGTCTCATCCTTCCTAGAAAAATGTTTGAAAAATTTGCATCTCGCACGTTCCGTTGCAAAGCCATTCAAAACTAGTATTTTAGGATGGATATGGATAGTTGTGGAGAGTAATTCAGAAGTACAGTTGTTTATAAAAATCCATTATTTAATTAACCATTAATTTACAAGCAGTGAGCATTTACAATTGATATTCGTTTACAATAAAAATGACAATTTAGTAACAAGTACAGAAAGGGTCAATTAAAGTACCACGAGAAAAAAAAAACACACTTCCATAATGCTTGGCTGCCTTGGCAATTTCTGTCAGTTTGTTGACATTAGAAAATTGGCAATTACAGAAAGTTACTTATTGGAAGTTATTGAATCCAATTTCAATGTTTTATAGAACGCATTATAACTTAATAAATTTTAAATAATTTCAATTACTTTTAGTTTTTTTAAGTTCATAATAATTATTATACCTATTATATTTTTTTATGATTTGCAACTATATGTCTGGTAATAGTTGTTGGATCTTTTTCAACAATGTGTAAAACATTTTTCTCGACCTGCACAGAAATCTCTAAAGAACACGGTCAGCATACAATTGCGATACTATGGCGACATTTTGATGACACTCTCCATGTATCAATACCATCACTACTGAAAATTTGGGCCATTTTAGACATTGAAATGTATTATATTTAAAACCCAAATCACTACTATTCCACGGTTTTCAAATGCCTGTTCCGCTGTGTTTAAGATTTTGAAAAATTTGTTTACTTTGTCGAGTTCTGTCAAAAGGAAAAACCCCAACTTAAAAAAGATACCCTGCATATTATAAGGAAAAGTTAAATTATTATCTTGCTATAAATATTTCATTCTACTTGTGTTCCAGAGTTATATTTGCTTCCATATTTCACATGGGACTGCTTTACAGCAAGTACCTAAGCATATTACAAATTAGAAGTTGTGGTATTTTCGAAATTCGTAATCTAGTAGGGAATTTCAGCTATCACGTTTAGGATATTTCAAGCATCACAAAACTTTGTGTTAAATAAAACAAAATATATGAAGGCGACACAGTTCCAATTGGGATATCAAGAAATTGTTATACAACAGAACACTGATGGGTACAAATATGAAAAAAGAGTTGTCAATAAAGTACTTTTAAATATTGTATAATAATAATATCGGTCGATGGTCGAGCTGTTCGAGGTGTCAATACTTGAATCGAAGTATGCTACGCCACGTAGGGGGCTCGATCCCTGCGGCTGCAAAATCAGCTATATTTGTAGAGAGGAATTAGGCACCCTCTCTGGGGGTATGGTAGGGCGGAAGAACGTTGGCTTGGGTCAATTTGAGAAACTGATACCTACCTGTGGGTGCTTCACCACCCCCCTAATTAATGAGGTTTTCCTCATTCCTGCACTGAATAATGGTTAGGGCTTATCAACGTAAGTCATTCCTGGGCGTACATGCAGCTTACTGGATAATAATATGCCGCCCCCTCTCCCGCACAAATCTCAAAGTTCTGGCGATTAGAATGAGGAGAATATTGATTTATATTATATTAACGATTTTTGTTAAAATCTAAACTCGTATAATAAATATAAAATTCCAATGATTTTATTGTTATATTACCAATAATTTCTTCTATTTACAATAAGTGACCTAATTTATTAACTAAAATATGCAGGAAGTATAATTTTATTAGATTTCGACTGTAAATTCCTTGAGGATCAATAAAACATAAATATTTGGGGTTTCTCATGGTTTAAGTATGTAGAATTGCTACTTCCAATGCCTAATCTGTACTTTAACTTTTTATATGTGTTATTAATTTTATCAGAAGTAGACGTTGCAATCAATTTTAAGGATGATGGCAGTAAATAATGTTTATTTTTCAACCCTGTGTCCTTTCCGACAGCATTTAATAATGACAAGCCTTAGTCAAGTTTTAGTCTTAACTTCAATAATTAAAAGTTTACTCCATATTATGCATAATAGTAATGATTACTATTTTTTCCTTAACCATCGGAAATGATTCAAACCTAGTAGGTATATTGTAATACTTCCAGTCCTTAGATGTTAAAACTAATTCATATTAACATAACAGAAAAAAACTGTTGTTACAATTATTATTCTTTAAAATCCAAGTATTCGCGCACTTATTCTCATATCGTCACAATCAAAAACAAATTTTATATAAACACCTTATTTTCTTAACAAGGAAAGCGGCAAATGTTACTACACCCTTATTTGTGGAAATTCTGGAAATACAAGTAAACAAAAACATTGCACGTACATGAAAAACAACGCCCAAAATTATTGGCACAATTTTAATTAGAATAATAATCTAAACAAATGATTCTGCGTAGATTTGGTCCACGATAAAATATATGATATGATAAGCAGAGCATACGAGCGATGTGACACACACAAACAGATTTCTGAGTCAAATTTTAGCCGGTAGTATAAACATTTCAGGATAAGCGGAAAAACGTAGTCGGCGGTATATTTAAGAAAACGCGCGTATCGCAGTTGGCAGTCACGGTCCGCTGTTCCACTGAACAACATACCGAGCTTTGGAATAGTATCTCGTAGTAAAACAAGTGCTCATCGCTTTCACTCGAGCCGATTTTGCTCACACATTGAAGTTTGTTTTCGTTAACTGTCTAGTTTAGTAAACTACTGGTGTTAATTTATAATTGATAATTAGTGCAATACTGGATTTTTAAAATGTTGACTTCGGATGAAAATCCGACCGCCCATAGAAGGGTTTTAAAAAAAGCGATATCCCAGGAAGAAGTTTTTGAGAGGGTGCCGCCAAATTCTGACAAGCTTTTTGAAAACCTGCCCTGGCTTAACATCATGGCTGACATTGCCCTCACGGCTGCCATAGCCGAAATTAAGGTACATTTTGAAAATTGTTTTGAAAAACTCTTTGTCAGCATTATGCTATGCGGAAATATACGCGCTTGAATTAACAAACAAATTTAAATTAATATTCTCATATCTACTTCAGTATTTCTTTTAGCTGATAAGTTATTTATTATTTGAAATTACCATATCAATGATTAAATTAATGAACATAAGCTATAGGTAACTTCTCTGACGTTGATACTGAGAAAGTAGGTATTCAGTAATTAGTTTGTCAGTCGAAACCGTAATTACCATTTTTGCTGTTTATAAATTAACTTACGAATCGTTTTAAAAGTTGCAAAACAAAAAAGATATTGCCCCGATAATAACATATCTACGTCATCAGTTGATATTTTCTTGTTCTTTCACATAATTCAATTTTATCAATAATGCAATTAATGCATATTCATTAATTGAGTTAACATTTAACTGTTCTATTAACAGTCGCATTTCAGTCTTCCACCCATGAAATATTACTAATTAGTAAGATAATTTATAGTTTTCTCGTATTTAATTAGCAAAACCACTCACGATAAATATTAGCATAAGAAACTAATTTGACCCCTATTGACGCCTATTCAGGCGACAATTTCATGTTTGTTTGTAGTTATGTAATTACAGTTATCTTGATCTATAATAATGTTTAAATAAATAAGAATGTTGCAGCTATTTGTTAATTGATAAAGGACTTTAGATTAAGGAGTTCACGAAAAAACAAGGGGATAATGGGTATTTAAAAATTGTTTAGATCTTATAAATAATCCCTTTAATACAAATTACGCAAATGCTTTTTGTTTTCCATATCCCTTAAAATTAATTGGTATTCTTAAATAATCCTTACTTTTACTGTCAATTATCTCACAGAGGGAACTGTCCTCATCAATATTAACAATTTAGTATCATCCAATAAGTATCCTTAATTTTAAACTCGGTGGGTTGTATGGATTAAAATTATACATCGATTCCATATCTGGCGATGTCAGATTGGAAACCTTTTACTAGACAAGCATTAGTATTTAACACATTTGCCTAATTAGTACAAACTGAAATGCCATATATAAAAATAACACAACATGAGTATAGCTATAAATAAAAAAATGTTTTATAAATTAGCGCGTATACTAATGCACTTTTTTTCTTTACAGTTTAAGCGTATGCTTAACAAGGAGTTGTCTCATTTCTCTGAATCAAGCAAATCTGGAAACCAAATATCGGAATACATCTGTTCTACTTTTCTTGGTAAGTTGACCTTCTTAAAACAGCATTATAGGGCGGTTTTAAGTCAAGAAGCACACACTCTACAGGTAATCTTGAGCCAAACACACGATTGAATTGAACAAAATATAATTAATACATTTATTCATCTATTAATACTAACTCCAGTAACTTGCTGTGATCATAAATTTAATAATTAAATTAATAATAATTTAAAAATAAAAAAGGTTATGATACTGATCGAAATTACTTAAAACAAACAATAACTACTAAAAAGATACTCTTATATTCCTTTAAGAAAACCTAGAAATATGTTGTAAATTAATTATTGGATGGGAGTGAGCGTATTGTTCCAGACAATGTTTATATTAAAAGCTATAGGCTTCTTTAGAGAAAGTTGAAAGTATTTTTTACCAAATCGATTTTATTATCAAACAAAACTATTGCTTTAATCAGAGACGCTATTGAGCAATAAAAAACGTCATATAAAATTGGAAAATACTAGTTCGCAGTTACAGGCAAAGATGTTTTCTTTTATTAACTTTGGATTAAGATATTATATTTGATCTCGTTAGCATATTTTAGTCTCAAGATTATTTGGTAGGCTGAGCTCCTACAATTAAGTACACCCTGTAGAAACCGCAGATGTTCAAGAGTTTCACTCAAATCTTTAGAATTATTTTCACTCTAAAATAATTTGAAAACACAAATTAATTCGGAGATGAAGTTAATTTTATTATCGAAGTATTTTGGTTTACTATAATGTATGTTTTGTTTACAGATAAACAGCAGGAGTTGGACATACCAACCCTGCGCACAGATGAAGCGGCCGAACCGCCAAAGGGGACCCAGCGCAAGGAGCGCCCCAGAGGTCCCCACACTACTATGTCACAGATATCCGGCGTCAATCGCAAGCCGCTGTGTCATACCAACTCATTCACTGGCGAAAAATTACCGTTGCACGGTGTAGAAACTCCTTACGAAGATGAATTAGGAAAATGTTTAATGGTTATAGACCACTGGGGTATTGATATTTTCCGCATAGGTGAACTAAGTAATGGAAGACCCTTGACCTGCGTAGCTTATACTACCTTTAGCAATAGAGACCTTCTCAAAGCAATGGGCATCCCATCTAAAACGTTCATCACTTTCATGATGACTCTAGAAGACCACTACGTTAAAGATAATCCCTTTCATAATTCACTCCATGCGGCCGATGTTACTCAAAGCACGCATGTCTTATTGAATACTCCGGCTCTGGAGTCTGTATTCACTCCTTTGGAGGTAACTGCAGCATTATTTGCTGCCTGCATCCACGACGTAGACCACCCTGGACTTACTAATCAATTTTTAATAAATTCTAGTTCCGAATTAGCATTAATGTACAATGATGAGAGTGTATTGGAAAATCATCATTTAGCAGTCGCTTTTAAACTACTTTCGAATGAAGGGTGTGATATCTTCTGCAATATGACCAAGAAGCAGAGGCAGACTCTGCGCAAGATGGTCATCGATATGGTTCTTAGTACTGACATGTCTAAACACATGAGTCTGCTGGCAGATTTAAAAACCATGGTGGAGACCAAGAAGGTGGCAGGTTCGGGTGTGCTGTTGCTGGACAACTACACAGACCGCATCCAAGTCTTAGAGAACCTGGTGCATTGCGCCGACTTAAGCAACCCCACCAAACCGCTGGCCCTGTACAGGCGCTGGGTGGATCTGCTCATGGAGGAATTCTTCCAGCAGGGAGACAAGGAGCGTGAAGCTAAGATGGATATTAGTCCTATGTGTGACCGACACTCTGCGACTATAGAAAAATCCCAAGTAGGTTTCATTGATTACATAGTACATCCTCTGTGGGAAACCTGGGCCGATCTAGTACACCCAGACGCGCAAGACATCCTCGACACCTTGGAGGAGAACCGCGATTGGTACCAGAGCGCCATCCCTCCCAGCCCGCCAGCAGAAGAAGTACCTGACCCGCAGCGCCCAGGCATTCGCTTCCAAGTCACCCTCGAGGAAGGCGAGGCCGAGTCCGAGGCCGAGGCTCCGATGTGACGGAGGCTGGTGGGCCTCTGCAGGAAGCTGACCGAGAAGGTGCAGCAATGGTGGCGCGTGCGGCAGTAGACGCTGGCGTCCTGTCTTTGTGTGCCACACCGCGCTGGCGCGGCGTTTGTTATGTTTGCATCGCTTGACTGAATCTTCGGGCTGAGACGCAGCCTGTCCCCGCAGTTCCTGGGAGTGTATCTTTAAATTATTATATTCTGTTTGGCCTTTCCACGACCCTTTTGTCATGCCTTACTTAGGAAGACACCGCCCCTACTGACTATACATCTGTACATAATTCATAATAATCTGTCGGTGTAATACTCAGCCCTGTGTATGTATAGGTACTATGTGTCATGTCAGCTATGTTACACACAAGTAAAGCTCTCTCCATTTTAAACATTGTTTTATTCATGTTTTTCCTTTTTTATTTACTAACTCACAAAATACGTTAAGAATTTGACAAATAGTTATTATTAAGGACAGTCTACAAAAATCCTGTGAAATAGTTGTTGTAAGAAATATTGAAAAAGTATCTCAATTTATTACAAAGTTGTAACACAATTTTTGACATACCAAAAAAAGCAAACAATAAAGCTACTTAACATTATTAACTAATCAGAGTTGACATGAGTTTCCATATCACAAAGGTGATAACAGAACAAAATTTTAAATTGGCAAAAAAGTATACTACTTTTCTAAAGAAAATTATATTATTTATATTATAGTTTTAGTTAACAGACAAAATAGTTATAACACGATTTGCTTAGATGTCTGATATTTTTGATAAGACAGAACAGAACAGGCTTAAAAAATAAAATCATGTTTGTTATAAACTAATAAAGATGTATTGTGGTGTTCAACAATAATTTCTTCAGAAAGCATATTTCTGCAGCAGTTGAGGAGTATTTATTTGACCAACTGGTTCGTGCCCTTAAACTCGCTGGAAGTATATATTTGATAACAGTTTAAGACTGCTGGAGGAACAAAATTATTGCATTGAAATCTGATACAACTAAGACAATACTGTAATGTCGTTAGCTACAACCCTTCTCAGTGGCGTTTAAAAGTAGGCATCTATAATGGTGGTAGCATTCACAGTTCGTGCTGGTATTTAAAGTACGATGATTTTTCGGGTTATGCTTACGCCTGTAGCCTTGCGGACACCAGGTAGGTGCACAGGTCACAGCATACCACCCGAAAAACCATCTTACTTCAAATACCTTTGTAATTTTTTTGACTGATTTCATTGGATATACATGTGTATATATAATTAATGATAAGATGCATGTATGTGTATGTCACATAATATTATAACTGAAGATTTCATTTTACGCAAAAAACGCATTGACATTGCTGAGAAGACAAGTATCTTTTAAGAAAAGTTTGGTTGAATGCCAATCAATCAGTTTCTGTCCTCAAATACAACGTAATACTAATACAGGTCGGAAAGTCCCCATGGTTCATCGGCCGTTACGTGAGAGCGATAAAGTAAGTCATAGAAATCCGTGCGATAGAGAAAGATGGCTATAATGAAGGCGTCTAATAGTCACCGCCCATTTCACCCTTCCACAAATAAGAAGTCTTTCTCTATCGCACGGATTTCTATGACTTTCTTTATCGCTCTCACTTAACGGCCAATGAACCATGGGGACTTTCTGACCCTGTATATGAAAGGAGCAGATTCCTTAGGTCATTTTAAGAAAACTATCTACCAAAATATGTCCCAATTTCACATTTATGATATACAGGACGTTAAATATTTTAATTTTCCGATATATTTTTTGTAAAGAACTTCAACTTCAAATTTTATTAGCAGACCTCATATCACACACTTAGAAAGCATCTAATAATGTTTTCAGTGCAAGTACAAAGTTCGACGATTTGATGAGAGATGTCGGAGCTGTTATATCCATCATATGTCTCATTTTCAACCTAATCAATATTGTACAATGTTTGAAAATATGTTTTCTCTCTTCAACTCTTGGGTCACATGGTAACTCTAAATGGTTAATATAACTTAGACAAGTGCAATAGTTCATGTATTGAAAATAGTATCAATGTCTTAAAAATTGGAAGAAGAAAATATTCAGGATTTAGCTTATTACAAAATTGCAACACAGATCAAATGGATTCGATTTACTAAACATATATTCATTGGTTAAGTTTATTAATATAAGTTACTCAAATCGGTACAGTGGCCTAAGAAAGATATTCAGACTAGTATTTAACTAAACATTGTAACACATATGACAAGTAGGTAATTACTATAATTACCGATTTCATTAATTTGTATATAAATTATTCATATTCTTTGGATACATGAAATGTAATAGTTATTTTCCTAAGAACTGCGGAAAGCAGTACTTCTTCGCACGCGACTTCCGCTGACCGAACGACGCGAAGAGGAATTGACTCACGGAGTCGAGTGTGGAAAAGATGCTGTACTCTTAATTTAAGAACAACTTTTTTTCTACGAGCGTGAGAAAAATAAAAAATAAATAACTCGAACTCCAGACCATTTTTGATATATTTATAACGCTACATTCTGAAAAAATAGGCTAAAAAGTTGATGTAAATAGAAATTGCGTAAACAGGAAAACTACTCCCTATTGACCAAGATAAGCAAACCAAAATAAAACCACTTTTCTGCATTAATGTGGAAAAGTAGATCTTTCTAAACTAAAATACGTGCGGAAATAGTTATTTTTGATGCTAGATTGCAAAATGCATTTGAGAATTAAAGTTTTATTTGAGAGCGAAAATGAGCAAAAAAAAATCGTTCGAGATTGATAAAGAATTTCACAATCGAATATCGAACAACATTTTTTCAAAAACCGTATCCTACAGGTCATAAACTAAAAATATGAAGAGCAAATTTTGACATTTACAAATAATTTACTTCACATTTACTTCACATTAGGTCATCTACAACTTACTGTATAATATATTTTAATATCAAATATTCTTTGGCGCATCAGTATCTGCTCCCAAATCTGGTGCTTCTTCAATGATTGCCATCAAGACACTATTGCAGTGATGGACTTACTATAATCCTCGAGTGGAGTCAGTTTTCACAATTGTGCAATGACGCCTTTAAATTTAAACCTTAATATAATTTATTAACTATTAAATTGATTGTTAATTAAAAGAATTATTAATGATTTAAAAGAAAAGCTAAGAAATAAAATAGAGAATTTACCTTTTCTCAAAAGAAGAGTGAGTGTGTCTTTACAACAAAAAAATTGAAAGGTGCTAGAGGATCGTAGTTCTAAGAAATTATCACCCTGAATGGTTGCATGCACCGAATGTCAAAGGGTTATTAAAAAGCGGATATAAACATAAACAACTAAAAAATAATAATTTTATCACCTTATCATTACAAACAGAACATGTATATACACCTTTGTATTCTTAAAAAGTTAGACAATCAAAAAGAAAAATGTGTATTCTGTCCAAACGTATGCAAGGTGTAACAAAAATTCTTAACCAAATTTGAATGACGAATTCTACGTTACAAGCTAATACAAATGTTGCTAATGAAAAAAAAACGGTGTCGGAAACGATTCATGTAGTGTTCAAAATTAATCGATGGATATATATTCCATTTTAAATTGCAAAAAAGAACAACTGAGGAAAGTCGTGCAAATATTAGGTATTTTTGCCAGTGAAATGAGAGTAGTATTCATTTTAGTGTTTGTGAAGAATTTATTGGAACGTATTAACTTTAATCAACCAAAACACATAATTAACAAAAGTGAAACTTAGTAGAGAAATTAATTATTTAGCGAGAATAAATGAAAAAGAACAATTAAGTTAACTATCTGAGCAATAGGATTTTCTTTGCTTCTACTCAGGTTTACATTTTGAATAATGAGTTGATGGAATCAAGACCTTTCACGTCTTTTCCCATGCAGAGATAAGCAAGAAGGTTCAGGAATTTCTATCCACCGTGCCTTTTAAAGTATGTCAACTTCTGAATGAGATAATAGTGTTGCCGAGGTTTTCCGAAAAGGTTGTCCAATATAATTGACCAATGTTTAGAACACGCTATATTGTCCTCAATTTCTTATCAATTTTTGTATTACACGCACCAATATGAAAGCGTTAATTTCTTGGTCAATTTAGCGAGTCGAAAATTGGTAAATTTGAAACAGGTTTTAATGTAAGTAAAACACAAAAACCGCAATATTAGCCGACAAACTTATGAGACTGCTTACGTCCAAAGGGCATATCGGTTGATTCGACAACTAGTTCCTTAATTATTATTTATTGCATTTATTATATTTATTAATAATAATTTGCCGGTTTTCTAAATTAACTGTTTAATTTTATTAATATTCTGTTGAAAATATATTTTTCCGGCTAAATTTTAACGCATTGTTTGAAAAATTATACTATTATAAAAAGAGCTTTAGATTGATATACAGATCGACAGCTTCTACTGCTACAGAGTCCAGGTAAAATTGATACCCTGTCAAATGTAGAACAGTTTATTAAATTGGAGCAAAATGTATTGATTCCTCGAAGATGAAACGGAAATGTCTACTGACCGAAAATATAAAACATTTTCTTATAACTATTAACTTCCTTTATTCGATTATCATTTTAATATTTTAGCGCTATTGTACTCTCTTGATATTACTATGAATGAAGTATCTAACTAGTCGAGCTATTCAAAAAATTATTAAATTACAAATAACTCTTTTGTATTTGAGGTTAACATTTTTTAAAAACAAATCCTAAAGAGCGAAGTACCTGTATGTAACAATGAAATTAGGGCAATAGTTAAAATGCAATTAGATGTCTTCGTTTGGATATTTATATCTAGATTTCGAACAATCTCATATTCTGTAAAGGTTTTCGGAAAAGTGTATGGGAAGTGTTAATATATTTGAAAGTAGAATTTTTGAAGATGTAAGTATATTAGATACAGGTAATATACTATTTTTTATTAATATAATGATTTTAAATAGGAACTAGGTTTTATTAGTCCTCATTTGTACATTTATCATGTAAAATAAATATATTCAAAATTATATATTTTAACATTTAACTGGACTATGCAACCATTTAAATACTTGTGCGTATAAATGGCTGCCTACAGTTGTATGTAGTACCTCTTTTAAATAAAGGTATCCACAATTTAACTTTTAAAAGCATTATGCAACCCTCCACACACGTATATGTATGTATAAATTATTGCCTATAGTTGAACGTTGAGTACTTCTCTCTAATCGAGATTTAGAAATAGGTAAGTATCTAAATGCTACTAAAATTTTATATACATAATCGGAATAATGCTTTGCATAATTAATCTAATCAAAATAAATACAAATGTGTTTTTCTATAGTGTAGTGAAAATTCTCAAAGCTGTAATACAAAGGAGAATATATTACTTTAATGACGATCGATTATATCCAACGTAAATTATAAGAGCAGTACATGCTTACATATTAGCATTTATATGTTCAAGTTTGACTAACCTGTGTGAATTAGTAAGTTTCAAATTGGTATTTGAAGTAAATATTTTTATTTTTACCAATAGACTTGTCGATCCAATTACTAGTAACGCCTCTGTCCTCTGTCACATGGCCAGAGAAATAGCGACATCGCGGTGGTATCGTGTAAGTTGAGCTTACTTCTAAAAAGACTACTCTATGTTCCGCTATTCCGCGTTATTTGTGCCCCATGTTTCCTGGTTAGTGCTGCGTGTTGCCCCGAGTTCCACTTCCAGTTTCACATTAGTTCCTATTTCAGCTCAGATAGGGTGTAGTGTCTATCTGTATCCGTATTGAAGTAGTGCGATAATCCGCGTTTTATTTCTGTACAATAAGTAGCACCGCTACCACCAGCGTTGAAGGTTTCAGAGGATTTGAGAAACTAGGGAGAGGAAAAATGAGCACCCCTGTGAAGAAAGTACCTATCCACTTACAGGTATGTAAAAAACCGGTGTTATTTTACATTAATTGAATTAAAATTTGCCTTAATATCATCTAATAATAATTAAATAAACATGTTCTATAAATAATCATTCTCTAGAGGTAATACGAATAAATACAAATATTTATTTTACAAATATCGATTGGCCCCTTTTCCTCTTCTTCATTTTATAAGTAGGAACTTACTGTGCCCAATCATTAAAATTAAGCTACAAAATAAATTCTTATAAGAAGAATAGCGGTGTGTCTGTCGGTCTGTACCGTTTAAAAAACAAATAGTCGGGTTTTTTAAGGTATGTAATAATAACATTAAGTCCACACCCTTTCGCAATCCAAGTATCACTGAAATACACATTGATTTGCATTTTCCCGTTTTCTTCACTTTTCTAACAACTTACTTATTTGTCTTTAATTCACTGACGATTGACATTTTCGAAAATATATCTATGAAAAAAAGAAATAATAATAAATTAAATTGTGAATAACCAAGATAAATACAAAAATATGTGATTTGTATTTGTTTTCTATATAAAATATTAAGAAGATATCATCATTTTCTACAGCATGTCCCATTTCTGGTGTGCTAAAGTAAAATAGGTACCTAACTAACAAAAAATTCTTACAAGTGTAATTCGTCACAGGCGTAAGTACTTAACAAAAAAGTTAAAATAAAAGGGTTTTTGGGCAATATATCGGAAAAGACAAATGATGTAAAATTCAAATACCTATTACATGGGATGTTATAAGGTGCAACCGAAGTTACCTAGGAACCTCATGACATTTCAAGCCTTGCAATAGTGTATATCGAGGTGTATATTATGTTCTTTTTTAAATATTTTTGCGCTCACGAAGTCTGAGGAAATCGATGGAATTTTTGAAATGCTTGCAAATCCTATGCTTACCCAGTTCCGATTTTTTTTCAATTTTTTAGAGCTATAATTTTCGAAAACTAGCAGTTTATTTTCGAAGTTTACGCAAATATTAAAAATTGATTTTTAAGGAAAAAGTGTAAATTGTTTGTGAAAAAATACAAGTTTAAAAATTGTTAACGAATACTTTTATACAGGGTGATTCAGTCACAATCTCATTAATTTTAACCACGTATTCGGAAGGCCTAATAAAGACATAAAAGCGAAAAAGAAATTTACTCGACCTTTTAAAAGATAAGCCATTTACCCCTTAACTCCCACTAATTCGGTGTCATCGCATCACATTTTTTGACCGGGAACGCGCCAGCGGACCACAGCGTCCGAACGCTGAAGCGAAACAGCTGATTTCCCCATCTAAATAGAATTTGTGCTATAGACTCTAGCTTGTCAAACGTAAATTGGCAAAACATTAAAAAATGTGCAATGGCGGGAGTGGGGATGGACTGCTGCGCTCATTGGGCGGAGCTATTTCACCTGTCTATTCTCATCAGGAATACAACTGAAAATACGAATGTGTTTAAGTTCATTGTCATATTTTGATAAACCAAGATAACATTTAATGTTAGCTTATCGAGTAGCTTATGAAGTTGTCGATTAATCTAAATCTGATTACTTTATTTAATCTGTTAATAAATCAATAAGAACTTAAAAATCTTTGTAGTTAATTCCAAACATTCTTTATGATGATTAGGTAATGTAAAAACTGCTTTCTAGTGCAAATGAAGTAAATACAAATTTCAAATATACGAAGTGAGTTTCAACAAATCTACAAATACAGTGTCAGTGATAAAAAATATAAGGACCTCCTATTTTTTTTAATTTTATAATTTACTTACTACGCCAGACTGTTTTCCATGAATTGCATTTGTCTCTCTCTAATAGTAAAAGTGATATTGCCACAAAAGTGCTAAGAGGTTAGGCCTTCGTAATACTTGTTACTGACAATAGTGACATACTAGGGTACTAAATCTTCTAGGCAGTATATTTTATGACACAATTTTTTAGTTATATTTCTTTTATTTCATATTATCGAGACTTATTAACCCATACATTTGAACGAAAATTCCATAAATCTTGGCGTCATCGATATTAATGATTCGTTTACAATGAACAATGACAAACTGCTTCGTCTACGCTCGAGATAATGCTGATTGGTTGAATAGAAAAAATTACACGAATCTCAGCCGATAAAACAGAACGTTGTGCTTTAATGAAGCCTTGGTCTTATTGCTTTAATAATTTTTAATTTTACCGAAATTTAATTGCCAACATGAAGGAAATAAAATTACTGTTCCAAACAAAATTACTGATCACGTGGCTTGTAATCATTTATGAAGGTTTTGTTGCAGCAGACACTGAACATTTATCTCTGTGTCTCAGCTATGTACTTATGTTGAATTTTTAATAATGCGTACCTACCTAATACAGATAGATACACACATGTTTAAAAATACCCACTTAGACATACATATTGGGTACATTGCTGATAAAAAAAAATGAATTACTCTTTCTAACTTGCTAATCATTTTCTTCTATTAACTATATCTCATCGAAAACCCTACTACAAAAGGCACCATCACAAAGGAGAATAGTATTTAAGCCATTGTTGCTTCTAAAGAAGTTATATTAGTTCCGTTGATGAAAATTTCACCTTAAAGAAGCAATAATCTAAAAATACTTTAAACTTGTTCATAGAACTACATGTGGTTAGAATACATGAAATATGACATTCCAATTTCGATGCAATAAAATATACATTTGCAAGAATAATTATGAAAGAGACATTTGCCACTGTTTTAAAAATAGGTGCATGCGTGTGAAATTTTATGGTTTGATAGTTCAGAAGTGTTAATAATCATCGTATCATTCATATAACCGTTAAGTAGATCACAATTAGCCCAATAAACAGACGTATTTTGTTTTTTCTTTTTAATAAATGAGATCAAATTGACTCTTCCTTTGTTCTGCTGACAATCCCAACCACAGAAGTAACCTTAAATTTTCCATCTATTAGCACTGCTTTCTTTTAATATAGGCAGACAATCTTTAATTATGTAAATGCATTTTGTAATAACATGAAGTGAGTATTTTGCCTTTTAAATAGATTTAAAGAAATGAACGAACTAAATTTATATGTATTTTGTACATTAAAATATTAAGCTGTGTTAAAACTATATCTACCTCAATTAAAAAGGATTGTTAAAATAAATAATTTTAAGGTTTAATTACTTTACAATTTCTCGGAACTGCCAGTCCAAATATCAATTCCTTTAAATTATTCCAATTGTACAGGGTGACTCAAACTCGATAGTATGGGACTACTGTGAGGATACAAAAAATTTAAATAAAATTTGGGACACGTGATGTTAAATGGGATGAGGTAAGCTCCATTTTCAATAGAAAGTATTATCTTTGGGATTTGACAGAAACGACTAACGTCATCAATTAAATTTTTTCCAGAAACATCCATTTTTTTTTCTGATGAAAAGCTCTCTTTTTCTAATAAGCTTTTATTAAAGAAATTTTTCTGTATTCCCGTTTAAAAGTCATAAGCAATATCGTCCTAAAGAGTCTAAAAAGAAATACCACCTAAAAATCGCATTAGAGGTGGAAGGATCAAGTAGTCGTTGGAAAATAATTGAATGTTCGTTGTTTAAAGTGCATAAATGTCATTAAGAATAAATAAAAGGATTAAACTCGATAATTATTTAATACAGTTAAAACAAAAGGTGATGATAACAATAACTAAACTTAAAAAATGAGGCAAACGTTTTCATACTTTATACATATTACAATCTATTCTCTATATGACCTCTCTAATTTCAAGACACATATATCCATCTTCGCCTCACTTCTTTGTGGGCTGCGTTTATTAACATTTCGCTGTTTAACACACAAGCGTTTGTGATTTCTTTCAAATGATTAATATCTCGCGAAGGTGTTTTGTATACCTTATTTTTTACCCCCCCCCCATAAAAAATCGAGGGCTGTTAGATCTAGTGACTTTCCGAGACACTGAATAGGTCCATAAGCCCAATCCATTTTTCTGGGAAAGTGTTATCTAAATATTGCTGCAAAATCCTAACCGTGTGGGGTGGAAGGTGGAACCCCGTCGTGCTGAAAGCATAGGTTTCTCCTTAGCTACAAAGCCACATTCTCCAGAAGTGCAGGAAGTTGTAGGAAATTTAGGTAACTTACGCTGTTCAATGTTTTTTCATAAAAATAAGGCCCAATTAAATGCCTACCGATAATGCCGCACTATACATTTACTCCAAAATGGCCTTGGTTTTGGACTGGATTTACAGAGTGGGGATTTTCAATGGACCAGTAGTGTTCGTTGCACCTGTTTGGCAAACCATTACTAACAAACCGACTTTCGTCCGTCCAAAAAGGTTTTGATCAACAACAGAAACATTTACTACAATTTGAGCCTCGATTTGAGCTATAAAAATTAAGTTTACTTTCAATGTGACGCTCAGGCAAACGCTCCAAATTGTGAATTTTGTAGTCATCATACTCATTGGTCTTTAAAATTTGTTGAATGGCTGATTTATCCAAATTCAATTCCCGGCTAGCCTGCCGTATAGAATTTCATGGATTTTGTTCGAATTACTGTAACAGTCTAGCTGTATTCACACTGTTTCTTACCCTTCGGTCAATTATTTCATTTTTCCGAACAGAAAATGCATCTTCATTTCGTCACAAGGTCGCCTCCAATCTTGCAAAGGTTCTATGATCAGGAATGAGGCACTCTGGATACCTTTCTCGATATAACTACTCTACAGCTATTCTTAAATTATTTTGTGACTCCCGTAAATTAGCAACATATCAACTTTTTCTGAATGAGGAAACATTTTGTAAGCACAGAAGATATATGTTTGACGTTCGTATTGAGTAATGATAAGTATTTTGTGACATTTATGCACTAAACAGCGAACATTCAATTATTTTCCAACGACTACTTGATCCTTTCACCGCTAATGTGATTTTAAGGTGGTATTTCTTTTGAGACTTTAAAACGATATTACTTATAACTTTTAAACGGGAAATAATATAGAAAAACTTC